AGAGTGCACGGTTAAAATCCTGAAGAACCCACTGCCGACAAGATGACTCCGACTCACAGTGATCCTACCTAGGGTTCCCAGGGCTGCCAATCTTATCGGGAGCAGATAGCCTCACCTTTCTCCTGCAAAGCAACCGGTGGGTTTGAACTGCCGACCTTGCCGTTAGCAGTCCAATGCTTACTGGAGCGCACTACCAGAGCTCCGAAATAATAAGGAATGTTATTAAAATCAGCATTAAAAGTGGTCTTTGTGGGACTATATACCAAGATAGAAATGGATAAAATCTTCATGTATACATTCAGTCGTTCCCTCTGCATTTGCCTCCATTCCCCAGGAATTTCACCAGGCTATTCACCTATAATGCACCCCAAAAATACTTGCAGAGGCAAAACTTTCACAAAAAAATGGTACTGAAAGATAATGAAATTTTGTCATGAGCTTTTGGAAGTGCCCATATATTACATGCCATACATACTGCTGGACATTATTAGGAAATACAATAATGAGATAGGGTCTCTTTCTATAAATGCTTGTTGGAAAGGTAAAGCAGATAAATGCATATGTGAATAAAGTTTCATAACAAAAACAAGGCACTAGGGGCCAAAAGACTAGCATGACCAGGACAAGCTACAACCAGAGAGAAGAAATCCCTGTGGAGTGGCCTAGCGGAACAAGGCTTCGGGAAAGAGGGCGCTGTTGCAATGTACTTTCAAGCACTGGGTGGGGTCCCGAACCAAAAACCAAACTCAGGGCCATTGAGTCGATGCCCACTCCCAGCCACCCTGCAGGACAGGCTAGAAGTGCCCCTGTGGGGTTCTGAGGTTGTAACTCTTTCAAAGAGTAGAGAGCCTCTTCTTCCGAGTAGAATCGGAGGAGAGTCCAAAGAGAGGCATTTGAGGTAGAGATAGACTGGCTCCACAAAAGCCGAGGTGAGATAAGGAAAGTGCTGAAAGCAGCCTCTGAAGGAACCATCAGTGCTGTCATGCATGGGGGAGGGAAACACAGGCCCAGACAGTGAACTGATACTGGAAGGTGAACGACTTTGCCAAGTTCAGGAGTTTTCTATACACACTCCCAAAATAATCAAGGTTTGGGAGGAAAGGAGTGACATGGTGAATGTGATATTTTAGAAATATTAAGCTGGTGTACCTCTCGACTAAAGATACGATTGTGGCAGTAAAGAGACAAGCATACAGACCGAGGGCACTGAATGTATAACAAAGAAGGGCAAACGACAGCAGAATAAACTGAAGAACAAAAGATTAACCAAGACCTCTTTGTTAGGAGCAAGTAAACCATGACACCACACAGACCAGAGAGGAAGTTAGGCAAAAGGGTAAGACAATAAGATTGTCTGAAGAACAAATCTTATTTTCATTTCTTCCACGATCACCAGGTTTGTGTGGAATTAAAATTGTCTGACTGGAGGGGAACAGGTAATTGTATTAACGGAGTAACCAGAGAAGCTCCCACAGTGAGACATAAACAGTGACTTGGCAAAGTTAGAGAAGACCAAATTGCACTAATGTGCTCAAAAAAACCAGTGGAAAATGAAAGCACACGGCTTGTTAATTGCATTATTAATGATATAATTCAAGAGAAAACAAGCCTCAAAAAAGTCACCTCAAGGAAGCGATATGCATGAATTAACCAGAAATTTTCCCCAAACTGGAACTATCAGTTCATTTCTAAATGTTAGGGCATAAAAGAACTCAAAGTACGTCTCCTCTCATGACCCAAAATTATTTTTTTTTAAACCAACAAGCCACCTATGTCCTCCACTGCTGTTTCTTACAGGTAATTGTCATCTCCAAAAATTCCCTAAATGTGTCCTTCCCTGTGTAGAAACTTTGGCCTCATCCAAACTGATTCATTCCTTAATCCCATTTAAAATATGTTAAATGTGTGTTATAAATTTCCTGAAGTTGCCTTTCATAAAACTAAGCCCCTCCAATTAGTTCTCTACAGTTGACAAGCTCTTTTACCCACAATAGCTCTTAGAATTCTCAGGAAGCAGTGCGAAGCAAGTCTTGCTAGCCGTAAGCTACAGAGAAGCAGCAGGTCTGGGGCCAGTCAGATGTGATGGGGGAAGGTTTGCAAAGAAAAGTCTCACTCCACAGTTCACAGTCTCCTCACTGTCTCCCCAAGATGTGTATTCTATTGTACGGTGTCATTCTGAATTGTGTTTAAGTACATGCTTTTACAAAAGAATAAATAAGATACCTCGATGCACAAGGGCCCAGTATAGGGCCATTTATTACTGAGGAGGCCTAATCGGTTGATGATGCTCATAATCTCTGAATCCTAATGATTTTATGATGCCCATGACAATTATCTCTAAATGAAAAGTGACAAACCATGTATAATGTTTGCAAAATTGTGGAAGGCACAGCAAAAAAAAAAGTCCGACACGATTCTGCGCTGCATAAACAAAGAGAACGTGGGTGATTTAGGGAAGTGTGAGGATAGGAAGACAGGAACAGGACACTCCTGTGGAGAGACCCTGGTGGCACGTAGTTATAGTGCTCAACTGTTAACGGACAGGTCCAAGGAGAAGGAAGTTCCTCATGGAAAGGAAGTGGCCACCTGCTTCCCAATCTAGGAAACCCAATGGGGCAGTTCTAGTCTGCCCTGTCCAGTTGCTCCGACTAAATTCCACTGACAACAATGATTTCTTGGGTTTTGGATGGTTTGTTTGCTTTGTTTTATTTTTTGTTTAGTCTCTAACTCTGCTAAGGCCTCAAATACTGATACAGTTCAGAGCATCGTATTACCTGGGAGACATAAATCAAAAGGAGTTCAGCTAGGAGCAATAAAACAGGTTAGTGTCTGGAAGGCCTGGCTTTAAAGAAAGTTTTAAAAGAATTAAATCCAGGTAAGCTAGATAAAAAACAGCTATGGGGTGAGGGGGCTTTTCTTTCTTTCTTTTTTTTTTTTTCAAAGTGAATGCTCACACTGAAGACTGAAATCATTTTGGTCTCTAGAAAACACAAAGAGGAATCCTTGTAAATATCTGGAGCATATTTCTAAAAGGAAAATTCAGGAGAAATTTGCCAGCAAAAGCCTATGGACCAAAAGAACTTTCTCCCCTAGGAGTGGTGAAAACAACATTCCTAGAGATGTTTAATACCAGGCTGGACAAAACAAGGAAAGGATTCCATATGGAACGATCCTGTGCTGGCCCTGAAGTCCGGAGGACTGAAGGTGACCTCTCCGTCTTTTCCATTTCTGAGTATTTTAATTCTATGAAATTTTACAGGAAGGGGCCTTCTGCCAACTTCCTTTCTCCCCTCGATGCCCACTTTCTCCTTTTACAAAGGGAAACAAATTACATCCCTCCTTATAAACAGATCTCATTGTTCTCAAAGAACTGGTAGTACAATCCTAGGTACAAGTTGAAGGCGGTGGGGACAAGCCAATTCCAAAATGTATAATGCTCTTCCTCCCCAATATGACTGGGGCTCTTACAAGGTTTTCCACCAACTGAAGAGGGGTCGTTCAAATGAACTCAAAGAAGAGTTGTCACATCAGGAAAACCAGAATATTCTCCCTTCTTTAGTCTGATCACAGAACTGACAGTGACCCTGGGTGCGACCGACCCTGGGTCAAATTATCATCTGAGCTGCTGTTCAGATTAACTTTTACCTTTAACTCTTTACTCTCACAGCAAACTCTGTTTGCAGCCCACATCTTGCTGTTGTTTTGGAGGAAAGGGAGGGGGGTACTGGCTTGTATCTTTGAAAAGATAGAGCCTTAAGCACCTACCCACTTACTCCTGCTTCAGCAACAGCTGTAAAAGAATATAAAGATAAGTCTGATTCTGCTCAAACTCAAGAGGCAACAGTGATGCCCTCTTTTTCCATTCCGGCACTTCAAACAATGGTCCTCCGTTACCCTGAGACTGAACCAGTATCTCCCTTGAAGGTGAAAGCCCAGGAAATACAAGAACATTTTTCTCAGTTTGCTTACTTAGAGGACAAGATACAACAACATCCAGAGGATTCTGGAAGCCTGGCCCTGGATCTTTTAACAATAAAACTGTAGTTCACCTAGAAGAAACAGCATGGCAGAGACAGCCCTCTGAGAAGGGCCCCTGGTGCCTCTTCTATTTAATCTCCACATCCTCCTGGCTGAAGACCCTCAACTCCCACTTGAAAGGAAAGTGTATTCTTCTACCCCTGCAAAAAAGCTCAGATACTAACACCAAATCCTCTATAGTTTGGTTTTGAATATATTATCTTCGTTTTCCCCTAGTAACAAATGAGACTGTTCAAATGTAAGACTAGGTTGTCACAGTGGAATCAGATTTGGTGTGTTCAAACTCCTTCCAAGCCTTACCCTGGCAGTACAGAAGGCTGGTCTTCATAATCCCATTTCAAAACTAAACAAACACGTGTGTGTGTGTGTGTGTGTGTGTGTGTGTGTGTGTGTGTGTGTGTGTGTGTGTGACCGGGAGACCAGGCAGTCTGAAGGAGAACTCCTTTTCAAATCTTTCCCAACATGAAATCAATCTAAAGGGGATTCTCCTGGAAAACGTTACAGTGGGAATCTTTTGTATCCTTGTCCCAGGAAGGTAAGAACAAAAATGGATAAGGCGGGGAGGACTATGTGCAGAAGGTGAGGAATGAGACTTGACTGCTGATTCTGTAAAACTATGAACTTGACCCTGACGATTCTGTAAAACTGCCAGACACCCTCGCGGTTTGGGCTACCAATTTGCTGGCTCTGAGATGCTGCCACCCAAAGAACGCACGCTACTAGAGACAGGACGACCTGGGGAGCCCCCAGCACAATCACTTCAGGAGTCTTCATTCCAGAGTACCTGGTATGCAGCTACCAGCTGTTTTCAGGGGAGTTCGAACCAGGCTCTCCTCCAAATCAGGTGGCCCCCCCTCTCACACACACACACACACACACACACACACACACACACACAAAACACACACACACCCCCAAACTCCCCCACCAGCCCACCCGGCAAGGAGAATCAAGTTTCTCACCATCCTCATAGTTTTTGAGATAGTAATCTGGGCCAGGCCCCCCTCGGCTTTTCGCAGGGTTTCTCAGATTCTGGAACTGTAGGAAATCCGTCCTCTTGCCCCCAAAGCGCAGAAAGGCAGGCGATAGTCCCCGGGCCAAGGTCACCAGGCGCTTGGAGCTGCAAGGACAGAGAAGGAGAGAGGAAAGGATCCCGAAGGCGCCAAGCTAGGCCCTCTTTCCCCTGCCTACGGGCGCACCCGGGGCAGTTGGTCTCCAGAGCGCCGCAGCCCGCCCAGCTTCACGGGTGATGCCAACGGTGCCCAGCCAGCCGAAGGGGTTCCCCCACTGCTCCCCAATGCCGCTCACCAAAGGTATGGCTTTTTCAAAGAGTTCGAATGAGTGCTTGTTGTGGTCAAAAGGCGGGAGGGGCGCGTCTGCGGCGAACCCGGGGTTCAGGAGCCATCGCCCAACTCCTGCCACAGTCCCCAGGCACTGGACACCCGACGGGAGTCGTTTGCGGGACTCCCACCCGTGCCAAGCTTCTACCCTCAAAGTGGGGTCCTGGCTCCGTGGCCGCAGAGCCACCGCAGCCTCCGTGGGGACAATTAACCTGCTTTCTTCCTCTCGAGCCAAACCCGAGCCTGAGGTCCAGGTGGTTCCCACCACACCCGCCACGGGGTCGCCTTGAGTCGGAGTTGCCTGGACACTGGACCACAACGCCACAAAGTCCAAGTTGATTTTCTTTGCAGGATTTCACCACCGCACCCATCTCCCAAGCCCTCCGCGCCCACCACCGCCCCCAGCCCGAGAGGTTCCCGGGCAGACCTACACCTAGAGAACGCGCCTTGCTCGCGCATCACACACACACATGCATGCACACACACACAGTAAAAGCAAGGTCTCTTTAGCTCCTGACATCCTCAACTTTATCTCCCCAAACTTATCCCCACCCCCCAAGCTGGGCTCCATCTTTTTACCTCTCACTTTGGGGGGGCTGCGGGGACGGGGAGGTAAAGTGAAATGGGCCGAATGGTGGAGCTGGCGCATGGGAGGGAAGCCGAGCATCCGAGGAAAATTGGCACTATCATCTCTTTCGGCTCCGGATTTCCATACTTTTTTTTTTTTTTTTTTAAGAAGGAACAGAGTCCGCCGCGGCTACTTCTACTTGGCAGCCGCACACAGGCGGTTCCGGCGAGGCGGCGCGGCTCTGGGACTGCTTTGCTGGTTCCAGTCCGGGAAGCCCAAGTCCACAGGGAAGCCGAGGTGGCGACGCGACCACAGGCTCTTCGTGGGGACACGGCCGGGGGCCGAAGGGTCGCGGGACCCCCGACTCCAGGCTGCGTCCCCCGGCCCGGC